TTTTTCAGGCATTACCTTTTCATAGATAATGATCAAGTCTCACTCTATTTTCAATTCATCAACTAATATGTAGAATGAGCCTTTTCAGGTCATATGACTGTTCATTATATTATGACAAACCTCCAAACTGTTTTTTGTTCTAATCGATGGACCAAACACTGACCAATTTTCAGGTTTCCACATGGAATTACATATCCCTATAATTTCAAAATACAACAGTAGGTCAACAAATTTCTGTTGTTCCAAAGATCAGACTTCAGTCTGCTGGTAATAATGGTAATACAATGATATCCTAAGATCTCTCCATTCTTTTCCTTTCTCCATATATTGTTTGGAATATCTAAACAAACAATCTCAAAGAACATTGAACAATCATGATGTGAATGTCCTTGAATTAGTCCAAGAGGGACTGAAGATCTTGAATGCTGTTTTACACTGAAAATTTCACATACAATTTATCTACCAACTACCCAAGCTGAAATGGGAAATAACAAACTATGACAGATGAAATCACTATACAATTTGGTGTATGAATATAGAGTGTTATCTAATAAAAAAAGCAAACAACTGAATCAACTTATGAAGACAAACTGCTTCTTTTTAGCCAGTTGAATTATTCTTTGATTGGAATGTTTTGCCAATTGATTGTTTGACATATTAACTTTAATTATCGTTTGTAATTGCTTTAAAAATTTAAGTAAATCTTCTAAAATGTAATTATCAATTCCAATTGATTGAAAAAACAACAATTCCAATTTGGATGAACTTTGTGTGAGAGATCGTAAAAATTTTTGAAAGGATTCATTGCCAATTCTGTTGTAGCTTATGTCAAAGAGTCTTAAACAGAATTGCATATTTAGAAAAGTTTGTAGACTTTTGCAAATGATTTCATTCAGATTTGCATTTCTTAATATAATTTCAGTACAATTGATAAATGTACTTGTCATATTTGTAAAAAATAATTTTAAATTGTAAAAATTTACATTCATATTTTGGAAATTTAACGCCATTTGTTTTATAATTACTGTACCGTTTGGTGCAGAGTGAATGATACTGCTTTCAATTAAGTTCTTTAATTCTTTAAAGAAACTGGTATTAATGTTGAATGGGCAGAATATTTCACTTGTATGAAAGTAGATTAAAGCTAGATTTTTACTCTCTATTGAACATATCTTCCTCAGGGATAGGATGATCTTTTCATTATTTTTGTACTTGATTAATATTTCATTGAATTGGTATAGCGTCTTCTTGAGTAGATAGAGAAACATTTTCATATCATCCACATTGTAAATGTTTATGGGTGAGGTGTTTTCAGACAGATTGATTTCATTCAGAGCTATGAACAGCTGCTTTCTTCCTGGAGATGATGATGGCAAGTCTCTTGAGTTTAATAACTCTTTTAGGTAGTCTCTTTCTGGAGTGGATGATGATGATGGCCATGATGGTAGTTTAGGATTCAATAACTTTTTCAAGTAGTATCTTTCGATGGATGATAATATGAATAGTTTACTGGAATTATGAAAAAAATGAAAGATAGCCTGAGGATTATATTTAATAATTCCAGTTGATAAAAGATATCCAATATTTTTTGATGTTAAACTGGTAAAGTATTCCACTAAAATATCATTGTTACAATCCATTTGTAATTGGAAATTTCCTCTTTTTTTCATTTCTAAAATTGTTAGAAATTGTTTCATTGCACTATCAAAGGCCAAATAACGTTGATTACACTTAAAACCTAAATTCAAAGATACAAGTAAAAAGCACAGAGGATGGGTACAGAATTCTTGAAAACCTTTCAAACAATGAATTAACATTAAAAATTGTTGTTTAATTGATGAAAGGAAAGATTGACTATTTTCTTTGTAAAAACTGCAAATTTCAATCAAACTTTGTATATTTTGTTTTGGTTGAATACCTTCAATCGAAAATATAGAATCAATTGGAATTGATGTTTCGACTAAATTTCTAACAAATATCAACTTTTTTATCTTTTTTGTGGTGTCTTCTTCAAAGATTTTGTATATTTCATTATTTGAATTATTTATATATTCTTCATTGTCGTCTATCAGTATTATTAGTTTTTCTGGATTACTTTCTATAAAGTTTTCTAATTTCTCCTGTATTTTGTGGAGATTTTCTTTTTCATTTTTGTAATTTGATAAGAGAAGATGTTGTAGTAGAGATTTTTTATCTGATATCTTCTCTTCCTTTCCATTGAATGAGAGTTTTAATAGTAGATAATTTTGCAGTATCTCCTCAATCGACCATAAATATAGCAGTCTATTTAACAATGTTGTTTTACCAATTTGTGCAGATCCTACTATACAATTATTTACCGCTGAACCAGCAATACATTTCAAAAATTCAACATCAACTAGACGCTTAGATGATTTGTATAGATTAGGCTTAACTTGCAATAGATTTAATGGCATGTACAATTGATTAAAGAATTGAGCACATTTTAGTTGAATAATGTTTCGTGAAATGATTTTTGTTTGTAATGTTTCGCTGTGTAAATATTTTATTTCCTTCAGAAATTTTATACTGTCTAAATATTGAATATGACAGTTAGATGTTATTTCTAAAAGTTCATTCCATTCTGTTAAATGTAGATTTTCACCAAATGTAAACTTGAATGTTTCATTTTCAACAGTTTTCAACATTTTCATTTTAGCTTCAACAATCCATGGAAAAAATTTTAAATCGTAAAAACTCTTTGAACTGATTATTTTGATTAGCTGCTTAAAAATTAGCCATCTTATTTTAGGGTCAAAGTTCAAGTTAAGATCTTTCAAATTCGGACATTCAATTAGAAATCTAACAATATTGTCTATATCTTTTTCAATAATATGACCCGACAAGTGGAGTACTCTTAAAGACAATGAGGAATTGATCAAATGTTCAAAAATATCTGAAAACAATTGTCCACTCTTATTATCTTCTTTCAATGAATCGCTCTCTTCAATTGACCTTGTGCCAAAAGTTATATAGACTTCTTCAAGATAGTAACAATACTCGAATAGTTGACACAACTCAGTACAACATTTGTCACTTATTTCGCAATTGTTGATATTTAAAATTTTTAAATTGTTATGAGAATGAAGAAGAGAAGTGAAAATTTTACTCAAACTATTAGAAATATCCCCATTATTGCCAATATCAATTTCATTTATATTTTGACATTTCTCTAGCAATTTGGCTAAATAATCTCCATCGGTGTCATTCAAATTGCATGAATTGAATTTCAAAGATTGAAGTGGTGAACAACAGAAACTCAACTTCGATAAACAATGATTTTTATCATTGTTATAATCTTCTTGTTTGAATAGATTCTCATTAAAACTCATATCCAAGTAATGTAAAGATCTGCAATACATGAAGAGTTGACTTAATTGCTGTGCCTTCTCCTTTTCAGAAAATTTACATGATCTCATAATCAAAAAATGAAGAAAAGGAGCACATGATTTTGCAATTGAAGATATTATGATATCCATACAAAATTCATTATAGCTCAAATTCAAGTATTTCAATTTCCTAAAAGCAATAAAGAAATTCTTCATCTTCTCCAAAGCATGATTTCGAAAATCTTCTAACAGTAATTCTTTAAATTTTTTAACATCTTCATTTTCTGATGATAACGACACTTCCAATAGACATTTTTTGAAATGATTCAATCTATCATCATCATCATCCTTTTCCAAACTATAGATTCTTTGTAAATCTTTTGAAAGATTTTCAAATAATTTTTTGACGTCACGACATACGAATTGTTGACAATCTAAGTATTCAATTTCCAAATGAGGTATTTTCTTAAGAATATTGATAAAAGTATTTAAATCTTGATTTTCCTGAAATTCTGATGTAACGCACTTTTTCAATACATGAAAATTTGATAAGGATAAATCTTTTAAAAGATAATCTTGAATATCTCTATCCTTGATGTCTTTGATATTTCTTATATTACAATTTGAAATATCTAGATAGAGCAAGTTAATTTGATTTGGTGTTATGTTTGAATAGAGAATTTCAAAATGTCTACCAACCTCTTCATTTCCACTCAAAATGATACTTTGAATATTCGATAATGTTTTAAAAAGTTTCCACAATGCTTTTAAACTTTTTCTTGATAGATTACAATTCGAAACATTTAATTTTAAAAGCGTCTTTTTAGACGCTGATTTTGAAAGACCTTTAAATATTTTGCACATTTTTTTCTCATTAATTTCAATATTATCCTGTAACCATAAAACTTTCAAACATTGACTTTTAAGAAGAAATTTACTCAGTTCATTAATTTCGCTAATTTTTAATTTGCAATCATTAATCTTTAAAATTTTTAATGTTTTTGTTGAAGATTCAATTAAAGATTCGAATAATTTTGAACAAGTATTTTCATTAATTTCATTTCCGCTTAGAATTAAATTTTCTAATTTTAATGTTCTTTTTATGAAATATTCACAAAAAAAATTAAAGTTGTTGTTATTAAGTTTACAATAACTTAAATTGATAGTTTTTAAACATTTCAAAGATTTCATTACACTTTTAAAAACTTTTTCAAATTGTCCACAAAATTGAGTAGTGTAGGATAAATCAACTTCTGTTAGAAAATGTAGTCTTTTCATCAAATTAATCAGACTTTTATACTGATAATGGTGATTTAAATGACATTTTGATAAATTGATATTTTTCAATTGTTCACTCCTCAATTCAAATATTTTCAAATATTCAAAGTCTAGACAAACTATTCCAGATATATGTAAACATTCCAATTGGTTCAATTCCTTAATCATGTGACTCAGAATATGACAGCCATCTTTATTTAGGTAGCAATTTTCAATTGAAAATTCTTTGATATTATTTTTAATTGAATTGAAACCATACCAAAGAATTTGCATTGATGTATCAAGAAATTTGACATCAATGAATTTAATCGACTCTAAACCATTTAACGACGCAAAACAAGTTGATAAAATTGAACTGATGTTATCGTTGATGATGACATTTTTCAAATGGAAATATTTCAATTGTTGATATGAATTCTTCATAAAATTTTGAAATACTTGTAAAAATCCAGTCATATTAAAGTTTGTCATTGAAATCTTATGTATAGTATTGTTTTTTAATAGATAGGCCATTGAAACTTTAGATTTATCAATCTCATCATTTAGATAGTTCTCTTCTTTCTCTTCTTCGCTGCTTTCCATATATTTGAGAAAGAATTTATTCTTCTCTTCAAAGGACGCTCCTGGATGGTATGGAATTTCGGAAAATGTTATTAAATTCTTGCCCATGGCGTTCTTGATGTACTTAAGCGGTTTTTTCAAATTGTGTTTTTCTCTTTCATTTTTGGTTGGAATAATTTGAAACATTTCACCATCATTATTGGAATTAAGGAGAATCTTGGGTGAATTGTCTATCTTTACAATTGATATTTCATTCAGTTTTTCATCGTCCTTGTTCTCTTTTTCTCTATCAGGAAGTGATGAAGGATTAGGATTGAAAGACATCATATAACTATCTGGAAAATCCTTGTAAATTGAAGAGTAATTTCTCATTGTAACATTACTGTTATCTGTCTTATTAAATGCGAAATTATTATTGGAGATGTGCTTGTTACAACAATCAAAAAACTGTTTATAAATCTCTAAAATCTCACAATTTAAAATATTAACTTTTTTTGAAAGTTTACATTTTTCAATTATCTCAAAAAATTCTTTACAAAATTCAATTGTTAATATTTTGTTATTAATTGTCATGAACTCTAAAGTTTCTATATCTCTTATCATTTTTACAAATCCAGTTGTTATCTTATCTCTATTACAGATACTATCGTAGTATAGGCCTATTATTTTTTGTCCTGAATATTCTAAGTCGAATCTTAAGCCATATTTTTCTTTGACATTTGTTAAGAGGATTGTACGAGTAATTGAATTGTTATCTTTATCTGATAACTTACTTTCGCTCACTTCAACACTATATTTTTTAATTTCTTTCGTTGTTGATAGAGTTTTATAAATCACATTTTTCAACTTTTTCAACTGTAATACGGATATGAGTAGTTTATGAATATTCATTTCCAAATTATAATGATCAATTTCGTCATCTTTAAAAATTATTTGTTCCAAATGTTGACAAATATTTATTCTTTCAAAAAAGCCTTTTCTTCCGCAATCTTTCTCTTCTTCTCTAAATTCACATTTCGTTAGTCTTAAACTCTCTAATCTACAATGAAACCTTCTAAAGATAATTCCAGATTTATAAGCGTTTAAATTCTCTTCTGTTATAGAAAGTTTTTTTGGATTATCATTACCAAGGATCAACTCTTTTAGCTTTTTATCATTAAACATTCTATACTTCATGGCTGATTTATCTAATAGTTCCATATAGGTGTCAAAACAGTATTTTTCCAAAAATGATAGGATATTATAAATCTTTGGATTTTCAGTTTTTTCAATAACTTTTAAAATATTATAAGTGATGTCTACTCCTTGATCGCCCTCCGTAGCCTTTTTCCAATTAGTAAATTGTATTTTTAAATGTTTTGTTGAAAAGTATTCAACTATGAAATTTGAATCAAATTGTAATTTATATTCCACAGCTTCCGGTGTAGAATTTGGGTCAATAATTTTACAGATAACATTGGAATAACAGTTGACTATTTCGTCTAGTCTGTCAAATTCTTGAATTGGTTCGTTTTCTTCTCCTATCATATTATTGAAACAAGTGTGAAAGAAATTTTCTTCCGATTTTGTTGGCTCCAAACTATTTCCATATTTAAATATCTGATCTAAAACAGAATATGGCGTTTTGTCATTAAACTCTTCTCTCTTCTCTCTCCAGAGGATTGATATTATCATAGCAATCTTTGGAATTCTACTCAATTTTTTTAATTCTGTATTGAATTTTAACAATTCGTCACTTTCCTCCTTTAGTATTTTTCTGTAGAATTTTTTAATTTGTTTTTTGTCGAATTTCAACAGTTCATAGATGGCAGTCGCATTGGCTTTTAAATCAAAATCCCGTAGACTTTCCAACCAAACTATCGTTTTATTTGGATATTTATTTCTTAGTAGATATTTCCTTAAAAAATACTTTTGCAATTGGCATTCCTTATCCAAATCTATAAGAAGGATTATTCCAGAATTCTCTTGTTCCAATAGACTTTCTAAAGCTTTTTCGCTAATGTAATTAAACATTTCTCTATTAAAATTTTGCTTTTTTACAACTGTTGCCAACTTTTTGTCGCTTTCCTCTATTTTACTAACATCAACAGAGAGCAATAGTTTGTTTTGATTAGTGACACCATTAGACCAATTCCAGATGACTTGTTGACGTTGAAGAGTCTTACCCAACCCAGATTTTCCTGTTATTAACCATTTATTAGTCTTTTCTTCATTCTCGTCAAATATCCTCTCAAAAACTTTATCCTCTTCAAACTCGTCCTCTGAATTATTAAGCTTATTCAACATTTTTAAAGGTATTCTAAAACTGTTCAATTCTTCTTTTTTGTGTTGATCATTCTCTAAAATTGGAACCTTTGAAAGTTCTTCTCTTCTCTTTTCTTTAACATTTTCTATTAGATTTTGCCAAAATTCGTCTTTCTTAGTCTCAGTAAATTGTTTAGCAATTGTATTTGATTGCTGAGTTTTTTGAATATTTAAAAGTGCTCTCAAAGAGATATTTGAATTGAAAATTGTGTTTATAACTGAATCTATTACATTCGATTTTTTGTTTGCATTATTATAGTCGTTTAAATAGTCATTACCTTGATCATTATTATAGACATTCTCCTGAATGAGATAGGCAATAGTATAAGTGAAATTGGCGTCATCTTCCAGCAAGTCCGTTAGTTCCCTGTTGTACAAATTCATCAATAATCTGTCAAGAGCATCCATAGTTTCTTCCCACTTTTTTCACGTATGCAATTTCTTTTCAACCACCCAACCTGTTAATGAAACGTAGACAACTGCTTACGGATGCTCTCTAGACTAATATTGATAATTGTACAATGCTCTCAAGATTTTATATCATTAGTAAAGCGAAAATAAAAATTAGAAATTCCCAAATCAATAAATCAAGCGGTAGAAAAGACAAGACTAATATTTGACAAAACGTTAAAGTTTTGGATCAATTCCAACTTGTCACTTTGAATGGTTAAATTGTCCTTTTATACATTAGTAATATTTATATGTGACTATAGCTAAACTTTTCCTTTACTTTTTTAACTTCTGTTTTTACTGTTTTTTCTTCCTTGGATGACACTTTGTGAAATACTCCAAAACATGGCACCATTAGCTACACTATTATAATTTGTGAATTTTCTTAAGGCCTGTATCTACATGCAATTCATTTAAATTCTTCCCTTCTGTTACCCTTTCCTTGTTTCTTTTAAGCCTCTTCACAATCCTACACATTCTTGCTACATCCCTCTCTGTGAGTCTCTTTGGACAACCCCTGTTCTCTTGTTGGGGTGGCTTATATCTTAAAATATCACTTAAGGATTGTAAGGACATTTTATACATTTATCAGTTTTCTTGTTCAATGTATATCCCAAAGTGCATTGTTGGCAATTTGTACTATTTGTACATTTTTGGCATAAATTAAGACATTCTGGGTTAAGAATTTCCTAAATTGATAACTAATCAGCAGAATAAACAAAAAAAGTATTTAAAAAGATTAACATAACATTATTATTTGTAGACAATTCGCTGGGAAAACCAGTTAATCTTTATAAGAAAAGGAAGAAAAAATTGAGCTATGATGACTTCGCTGTTAATTAAAGAAGGCAAAGGTGAGATCAACATAAAATAGTACTAAGTGGGATATTTAAAGACAACATTTTGGGATAAGAAATGGTTAGGAGGAAAAAAATACCTATTAATTTGTATTTAGGTCCATCCCAATCTAAGGTTTAGCTATACTAAAAAAGATTAGAGATGTACAGAGGATGGCTTAGTGTGAGGGTAAGAATATGTATATTTCTCTCGCATCTGCAAAGACTGGTGAAATGCTCAGGTGCTGTCGGAAGAATATTACTATGGGTAAGTCTTTGGCTGCTAACGATGAGCTAGGTTTTCCAATTCCTGTTTATTGTGACTGACCAAAATTAAATGTCATCATTCTCTTTGTTACTATCTTTGTATAATTATAGTTCAAGGTAGCTTTAGATTTAGGAATTGTCTCTTTTTTGTGTATAGAGATGTATGATGAGTTTGATTGCACTTTTTGATACAGAATTTCGATTAAAAATTTTCAAGTACATGTCCTCCATTCCGACAGTTCGGGTATCTATACAATAATTGGACCAACCTTTTTGTCTTCCCTTTAAATCAGAACTACTACGTTTGTTTCTGTAGTCCTCCGTAGATAAGAACCCTCTTCGAGAGCTTTGATGATTCCTGCAATATATTATACCAATCTGTTAAAATCAGATCGATATGACTCCAGATATTTACTGGAAGCCTGTCAGTGTATTGTTCAAGTTTGTCAAACTGTGAGTGTCGTTTGTAATTCAGAATATTAAAAAACATAAAAAGTTTTTTGAATTCAACCCAATTTGCTACAATGCTAGGTTGAAACGGTGTTGTTTTATAGAGAATTCGTTCCACAACAATCCCCTCTCGTAGTGAAGTATCCCCATAAGCACTCTCTAGAGTCTATAATAGATTTACAAAGTTATCTTCATCACCACTTATATCGTAATATTCACGGGAATCATCATCTTCCGCTATCTAACGTTTTATATTTATAATATCTGTTTGACAATACTAATAAGAGAATCAATCATAGTGATAAATACAGTATTAAACAAGAAAATAAAGTTTTTCAGTCTGATTTCATCGATTTGAAAAAAACTGAACAAAATTAGTATTTATCTAAGCTATTTTGAAATTGATATTTTTTTGATCATTAAGAATGTACACATACATTCATCAGCTATGCTCTTCAATAGATAAGTAGTATTGAATCAGTATTGTACTGTGCAGATAGCACTCATAGAAATAAGTAGTATTGACCTAGTTTCACATAGGGCAATGCATATACAGTGTATACACAACACTGTTCTATATAGCATGCATTAATCAGATATACTTCCTCCTTATACACTGACATAAATGATTGCAAAAGAAAGATTACAGTTGTGACTAACCAGAAATTCCTACAAAATTACAATACAACAAATTATAAAGAATATCTTTAGATAATCATCTGCATTTGAACTGATATAAAATATCTTTTGAATGTTAAAATTGTGATTCAAAAATTTATGAAGAACAAAAGTTAATTGTCAGGGAAAATGATTACAAACATCAAAAGAAAAAGGATACGACAGAAAACGTCCACAAATTGGTGCTTTTACCCTAACCCTAACCCAGCCCTTAGCTGTACCTAACCTTTAGCATTAGCCTTAACCCTTAGAGGAGACCCTCCTAAGTACAAATCAGTTGCTGTTTTCTTTTGCCTAACCATTTCTCAATCCAAACTTTTGTCTTGAAATTTCTCATTTGTGGACGTTTTCTGTCGACCCCCTTTTCAATATTTACACTATCTGATCAAAAATATAAACATATAAAGTAACCTGCATAAAAATTGGAACATCATATATTTTGATAGGTTAAACATTAAAAATCTTTTTCACAAAGAAAAAAGATTTCGTTTCTATTTTTTCTGTCTTAAATATTAGATTAAACATAGATATATAAATGAACATCTTCTAAATAGAATTTAAGTAAATTTTTATATAATTTTCTTGGTTTTATATTATATATTGTTTTATTGATTTTTTTTTCTTATTTGGCATCGCTTCATAATAATTGGAACAGGGGGTTTAATGTTCATAGTTTTTACAAAGAAAATAGTCAATCTTTCCTTTCATCAATTAAACAACAATTTTTAATGTTAATTCATTGTTTGAAAGGTTTTCAAGAATTCTGTACCCATCCTCTGTGCTTTTTACTTGTATCTTTGAATTTAGGTTTTAAGTGTAATCAACGTTATTTGGCCTTTGATAGTGCAATGAAACAATTTCTAACAATTTTAGAAATGAAAAAAAGAGGAAATTTCCAATTACAAATGGATTGTAACAATGATATTTTAGTGGAATACTTTACCAGTTTAACATCAAAAAATATTGGATATCTTTTATCAACTGGAATTATTAAATATAATCCTCAGGCTATCTTTCATTTTTTTCATAATTCCAGTAAACTATTCATATTATCATCCATCGAAAGATACTACTTGAAAAAGTTATTGAATCCTAAACTACCATCATGGCCATCATCATCATCCACTCCAGAAAGAGACTACCTAAAAGAGTTATTAAACTCAAGAGACTTGCCATCATCATCTCCAGGAAGAAAGCAGCTGTTCATAGCTCTGAATGAAATCAATCTGTCTGAAAACACCTCACCCATAAACATTTACAATGTGGATGATATGAAAATGTTTCTCTATCTACTCAAGAAGACGCTATACCAATTCAATGAAATATTAATCAAGTACAAAAATAATGAAAAGATCATCCTATCCCTGAGGAAGATATGTTCAATAGAGAGTAAAAATCTAGCTTTAATCTACTTTCATACAAGTGAAATATTCTGCCCATTCAACATTAATACCAGTTTCTTTAAAGAATTAAAGAACTTAATTGAAAGCAGTATCATTCACTCTGCACCAAACGGTACAGTAATTATAAAACAAATGGCGTTAAATTTCCAAAATATGAATGTAAATTTTTACAATTTAAAATTATTTTTTACAAATATGACAAGTACATTTATCAATTGTACTGAAATTATATTAAGAAATGCAAATCTGAATGAAATCATTTGCAAAAGTCTACAAACTTTTCTAAATATGCAATTCTGTTTAAGACTCTTTGACATAAGCTACAACAGAATTGGCAATGAATCCTTTCAAAAATTTTTACGATCTCTCACACAAAGTTCATCCAAATTGGAATTGTTGTTTTTTCAATCAATTGGAATTGATAATTACATTTTAGAAGATTTACTTAAATTTTTAAAGCAATTACAAACGATAATTAAAGTTAATATGTCAAACAATCAATTGGCAAAACATTCCAATCAAAGAATAATTCAACTGGCTAAAAAGAAGCAGTTTGTCTTCATAAGTTGATTCAGTTGTTTGCTTTTTTTATTAGATAACACTCTATATTCATACACCAAATTGTATAGTGATTTCATCTGTCATAGTTTGTTATTTCCCATTTCAGCTTGGGTAGTTGGTAGATAAATTGTATGTGAAATTTTCAGTGTAAAACAGCATTCAAGATCTTCAGTCCCTCTTGGACTAATTCAAGGACATTCACATCATGATTGTTCAATGTTCTTTGAGATTGTTTGTTTAGATATTCCAAACAATATATGGAGAAAGGAAAAGAATGGAGAGATCTTAGGATATCATTGTATTACCATTATTACCAGCAGACTGAAGTCTGATCTTTGGAACAACAGAAATTTGTTGACCTACTGTTGTATTTTGAAATTATAGGGATATGTAATTCCATGTGGAAACCTGAAAATTGGTCAGTGTTTGGTCCATCGATTAGAACAAAAAACAGTTTGGAGGTTTGTCATAATATAATGAACAGTCATATGACCTGAAAAGGCTCATTCTACATATTAGTTGATGAATTGAAAATAGAGTGAGACTTGATCATTATCTATGAAAAGGTAATGCCTGAAAAACAAATCTGTAGACATCAAAGAAAAAGGTATGTGCAAACAGAGAATAAAATATTTGATATTCGGGATAAATATAAACTGAGAAAAATGTTGGCAGATGAATTGTTACTACAAACATCTCATATCTATGCTCCATGGTTTTTACATATATTTTATATTGTTATATTCTGTTCATTTCTTTTTTAACCTTATATTCTTTCCAAGAAGATGGCACAGGCAAAAATGCATTAGGTTAATGTGTAGAAAGACATATTGTAGAATAAATAATAAGATTATTGTTGGTCAAAATAAATATATTGAATATGTTCCATAACAGGTTAAGCTCAATTCTCATTATATTAGGTACGATCGCGATATTGTAGACACTTTTGCTACGTGGACTATGTGGAAATAATGACCATTCTTGACCTCCTATAAAATCTTTTTCTGTTTTAAAACTTGTTTGAGGTCTGGCATTGTCAGGCTTCAACATTATCTTTTTTTCCAGTAGAATTTAGTTTAACTAAGCCTTTTCAGACATCCAATGTATATTTTGAAGTCCATTTTTTCTCCATACTCCATAAATTCACATGGATTTTGCAACAATATTCCCCCAATACATAATAAAACAGTTTTTTAGCTGATTTAGTGACCAGATCTCAGAAAAAAGTCTTTAATACTTTTTTCCTTTTTTTGTGGCAGATACCCACCCTCTTACTGAACCTCAGAGTTTCATCCCCAAAATAGCTTTTGACCCTGAATAAATATTCTTTGAGGGTGATTCAGGACAACTACCCCAATCTAATCATTAAGAAAAATCACCTGAAAACAACCTGAGATTTAACAAGCAATATAAATTGGATAAGCAAGAGAAGTACGTTATCTTAAAAATGGTAATATTAAAAATATATAAAAATGATACGGTTAGACTCTACTTCAATATTATTTAACCAATCATCATTTTTGCTATAGCTACAGTCCACAAAAAGTAAGGTATATCAATGATTTTTAAGATAAAATATCATTAATTATCAAAAAATATTTGATAGATTGCTTACCTGATCAAAGATTATTGTTTTGTAGACAAAGTGTTTCTAAATTAGAAAACAATCTTTCTCTATATGGAAACAAGAGTCAAAAATGTATTGTTATCTCTATGATAAGATATCACAGATTTGTGGAAATTTTACAATTAGATAACAAAAGGAAGAAAAATATTGAAAATTTTCGGTTTTTACTCTCTGTTTGCGTCTGTCTATTTTCCATGTTGGAAGGGCTACTTGTAGCGTGTCGCTCTAAAACTACTTTATAATTATAGTAATATTCATACCTTAACTAATTTATAACCTATATTCAAAAAGAAATTTATATTCATCATAGGAATTTAAGAGTTTTAATCAATAAAAATATATTAGATAAGTTATCTTTAATACTTTTTTTTTCAAGTCTATATATTTATAGTAATACAAGTTTCAATACTTGTTTATAACACTAAAACAGACAAAGATTTTTCATGGGTTGCGGAGCGTCAAGTGTCAAACCTTGCAGACATTTGTATTGTCTGCAATGTTGTCAACTTTTACCAGGAGATAAGTTTGATATAATTTGCAATCTTTGTTCAGAAGAATTTGAACTAACTGAAGATCAAATTTTAAATGTTAAATTTAGTATTCCGGATGAATCTCTCGAGAAAATATCATTTGTTGATAAATTGTGTAAAGATCATAAAACTATTTTATCAACTAGTATAAAACTAAATATTCAATTTACAACTGAAAATTTTCTTGGCTTGTGTGATAGATTAAATAAAGGTCCAAGTTTATTGACAAGTGTAAAATTTAAACTCTGTCAAATTGATGAGAATTCTTGGAAAACTATTGGTAATACCTTGGAAAAATTTTCTTCAATTGAAAATCTAGATTTCAGTAAAAATATTGGAATGGGAGATGGCTTGATAATTATTTGTAAGAGTCTTATTACATCATCAAATAATGTAAAAGATTTGAATTTATCAATGTGTATGTTAAGTGAAAATCATTGGATAGAAATTGGGAAAATATTGGAAAATTTTCATAGATTGAAAAATGTAGATTTGAGCGGAAATAGAGGAATAGGCGACAATGGAGTATTAAATATTTGTGAAGGGTTAAAAAGTTCATCAACTTGTTTGAGATACTTAAATTTAAGTGATTGTAATTTTATATTTTTGGCTCAATGGGAATTAATTTGTGCATTAGTTGGACAATTATACTATTTAGAAATTGTTGATTTAAGCTATAATACTATACAAGAGAATGTATTGATTCCAATATGTAAAGGACTACAATCATCTTTTAATAGTTTAATCTCTATTAATTTTTCATTTTGTAATTTTTCTTCACTTGAATCTAAAGTATTGGGAAATTTTTTAATGGATATGCCAAAATTACAAAAAGTAAATTTAAGTGCTAATAAACATATGGGAGTTGGATTAGCATTAATCTGCAATGGACTTGTTGAATCATCAAATACATTGACAACTTTATCTTTTGTTGATTGTGAACTGAATAATGAACAATGTCTTAACATTGCATATGCTCTGAAAAAATGTCACAAAATAGCTTTCCTAAACTTGTCTTTCAATACAAACATGGGTGATGGACTAGAGAGTATTTGCGAAGGGCTACTTGTAGCGAAAGATACTCTTCAGTCAATTCTTTGTTATAAATGCTTCTTAACCGACAGTCAAAAGAAAGTCCTCCTCTGTTTGTTAGTACTCTGTCCTTCTATGCTTTGTTTGGACATGAGAAATGAAGGCGACATAAATGATGGATCAATAATAATAGAAACAATGTTTTTAAGGCTTGAATTCACGGAAAAGATTAAGAAACATCAGAGATAATTCAGTTTTGCGGCTGTCAATGTATAATTCATTTAATGAGTGATAATTGAGACATTTCAGAAGTTTAGTTTATTGAACAAAATTAATCTTTATACTTGACAGAAAGATAGATATGAATCTTGTCAGAAAAATATTACAACACTATCCTTTAAAAATAAATGTTCTAATTTGATGCTGTTTCCAAATTGATTTTATTTTAATTCAATTACTTGGTCAAAATTTGTCAATTTCCTTTTAGTTTACTACACATAACATTCTGACCATGACAAAAATTTCTCATTTCTATACCATTAAAAAATAATGTTTCAGTAGTCTTTCAAATAGTAAACAACAACAGGTTTTGTGTTTGTAAACCCTTAATTATCAATTATTATATCATGTTTATGCAAATGAACACTTTTTGTTGTTGACAACATGTTTAAATGTCCTGTATCCTACAATTATTTTTGATAAACATCAATTAAATCATTTTCTCTTTTTAAATTTATCAACAATACAATGAAATGAAGAATTTTTTTATAAATTTCTATTAAATTTGCTGTGAAAGCCTTTAAAGTCATTATTGTTTGATTAGCTCCTTTTAAAATTTACTAATTATTTGTTGATCAGAGACTAGTGAAATTGATCATTATTGTTTATATTTGCTTATCACTCAGTATTGGTTTCATTTGAACCTTTAAAGAAAGTGTTTAATTTGAATGGTTTATTTGAAACTAAATACTTAAGCTTGTAACAATATAAAAGTTCAATAGCAGGGTAGACAGTATGTTATAGCCGGTTCCCAAGTTACCAAACTAGTGTCTAATATTGAAAGAGTAGAAGGCTTGCCCCAGTGGGGTTCTTTTCAGTTTAAGGTAAGACAGTTAGAGTAAAACAGTGAGGGCTTACATATTTGTAGATTTGTCTCCAATATGTAATCATCACCCTACAGTTGGTGGTCTAGGAACAGTATGTTACAAAGTTCAACACTTGAGAAAACAAATTAATCACACTTTGGCCAAACCCTAAACAAGTTCATTAATCATAACTTGGACAAACCCTAAACAAGCCTATCAATCACAACTTGGCCAACTTGGCCAAACCTTAAGTATGACCAGGCAAGGTCTGACTTTGGCCAAATGGTGATTGTATTTCTGACGTAGGTTTTTGATTAAGTATATGGTTAAGTTGTTTATCCTAGCATAGTATAAGCATCAAATAAAACAAAAGTTATAGACCATTTTACCATTGCTTAAAAAAGCAGAAATACTGCATGTAAGCAGTTCGTTTTCTTTGAAACTACTCTTTGAATCTAAATATAATCTAAATTCTTAAGCACAGAAAAACACATGTTTTCTTATTTCTAAGATGTTAATTATTTTTGGGTATACTTGCGAACTTGATCATTTAACTAAGGTAATAATACTAGTTATTAAAACAAATGGCCAGAATCCTTTTTATAACTGCTTTAGGATTTTCATCTTTCATCAATTTGAAATGTCTGCCATAATATATTTGAAGAAAAATTGTTCAAGGGAATAAGATGCCTTTTGAAAATGGTAGTGCAAACGCAAGAGATAGTTTAGAGTTAGGATAAAAGCAAAAATTTGTAGACAGTTTGTTTTCTATTTCCACAGATTGTATACAAAATTAATAAAACACAATAAAGAATAGATGCTGTTTTGTGATATAAAGTAAAGCCTATATCAATTTTTTATATACCTGCCAGAATCTTTATCTCTCGAAATACAGTTTCAAGACAACAAAAGTCCTATGCAAATGATCATGATTTGCATCATGAGAGAAACAACAGCCTATTCATTTAATGAAAAATTTCATTTTCCAAATGAATTTTACATTAGTTTTGTTTGAAATTGAAAACTTTTAAGAACACAGAATGCCAGATGAAAAAGTGAATGAAGAAGAAAACACTCCAGATCATTTTAATGAAATTGAACTATAGATAGAAACGATTTCAACTAAACATGGTCAAGTATTTAAGAAAAGGAATGTATAAGGTGCAAAGTAGATGAGCAAACAAGAGTTGTAGTTTTTGCGATAGATATTCAACTTTAACCAATTGTAATCAACAATCATTTGTTTCCTGAAGGAATATTCAAACAATTGCAGACTTTTCATGAATTTAAAAAAAAAGATTTAGGATTGAAACAGGTATCATCTTTTATTTGTATTCTGTTCACTCAAGAAAAAGACTGCTTATAAAATATTTTTCAAGATAAATATAATATATGCTCAAAATATAATTTTTAATTACTGTTGATATTTCATAGGCTGTTTAACACATTTATGCTTTTAAACAAAGTTTTTTTGTATGGACAACACTATATATTATTTCACACAACATGCATTAACCCGATTAAAAATATGAAAAATAACCCAAAGTTCATTATTACTTACTCCTAATCTCCTACCCTAATTAAACTTGGCAGAATTCTGAAGTAAATTTATTAATAGGTGTAGGCCATTTATTTTTAATATCTCATAACACTTAGATTATATCTAAGTGCACAAAAAATATCTTCAATAGAACTTTTTTTTCTTACAGTTTACTCTTGAAGATGATTAAATTAATTCTATCAATTGGCTTGGTTTGTGAAGAAGAATGAGAACTTTTTAGCTACTGTATCAAATCAACAGTTGTTATTAATAAATAATTAAAGAAAATTCAATAAAATTGCAATAAAGAAGAACAATCTTTTAATAGAATATCACGTGATGAAATATAATGACAATTGATATCTATTTCAAGAAATTTTCACTGATCATGAATTCTAGATTGATAAATGAGAGATAAAGAACAAAAGTGGATGTTTATCACAAGTTTTCTATGGGTGATATTAATAAATAATCAAAATGTTGTTAAACCACAAAGAGATATAGAAGGTTTTAAAAAAATTGAAATATTTGAGGAAAATGATGAATATATTATTGGATATGTAAAAATTGTTGAAAAGACTAAAAAAATTGAACATTTTCTACAATATTCAATTTACAAATACAATGTTTTAAATGAACCGGATCGTAGTAATCCACTCATTAATGAAACTATTAAAATTATTCAACCAAACTCTATTCGGAATAGTCAAATGAAAATTGGTGAAAAGAGAAGAAGAGAAATGTGTAAAAGTACATTATTTTCATTAAGAGAAAAGAGCGATTTAGAAAGATATATAGATAAAAAGACTATAATATTAATCAATGAAAAAAAAAGTTGGCAATATTTGGTGAATGATCCGAATAGAAATACAATTATTAAATGCAATTATATGGAATTAGATGGTTAATAAGAACGTTTTCAATTCCATTTAACTCTCTCTCTCTCTCTCTATCTTTATATCTCTCCATCTTAGACTATGAATTACAGAGAAAACATAAATTTAAATTTAATGTTTTTCACATTTCAAATGATGCTTGGAAAGATTATTACATTGTAACAAAATCACTTTTAGCCTTTCCACTGTTTTTCTCTCAGAAGACTGATTGGAAAACAGCCTGTCTATTTGTTTGTAATTTATTAAAGCAAAGCAATGGCGTTGATTATTGTTACGGAATTCAGTCCTCATATCACGTAAGAGAAATTGTTTTAAAGGACACTGACAAACTTTTAAGCATCTCTACCCATTTATTTTTCACGTCATAAGTCAACTATAATTATTAATGGTTGCGTAATAGGGAGTAATAAATTTACTGTTCAAAAATGTTATTATGAAATATTCGAGAAGAAAGTCACTACTTTACAGATGGATGTTGATTGTATTGAAAAATTCACTGACAGTAATAAATGAGTTTGTCTTATTTTCACATTTATACTTTTACATTCTTTTTTTTTAAAAAAACAAAAAGTAACTAGAAGTATTTTCGATTTTAAAAATTTGAATTTTAAATTACAAATATATAATGAAGATAAAGTTTCCTCTTATGGAAGTTTGTTGGTTAGTGTAAGAGGGGAAAGTGTCTACAGACCACTAGAATATAGAAAAATACCAATAAATATTTCAAATACAATTTGCCTTCTGCTTGGTTATGATAGACTTCATTCTTATGTAATTTGTACTTTGTTGTATTGTAATTGTAGGAATTTCTGGTTCGTCACAACTGTAATCGTCCTTTCCAATCATTTACCAACTTGCCAAAGTACTGGTCCAAATAGAACCTTTAAAGTTCGTCCACAAATAGTCTAACAAAGGCAATTTCGGTAGAAATTAATTAACAAAACACCAGTATTTCGTCCAAAGAATATGTATTGAGTAAAATGAGCTTCTAGTTCTAAACAAGCTAGTTTAAACAACTAGCTGACGGTTAGAAAACTGAACTATCAACTGTTAATTTCGTAGGGTTTATATACTCTTTTAAGGGTTGATAGTTCACAAATTTCAATGTTCACAAAAACAAAAGTAACATTTGAAGACAAAGAAAAGTTCTAAATATGGTCATGTTTTTATTGTTTTCCTCTTCTAAATAATAGTTGAATTTCGAAGGTTGGAGAGTTGCATAAGATGTAACAATTTTAGTAGGACAAGTCCAACAATCAAGAAAACATGTAGATTGTATATTTTTTATATTCTACCTTAATAATGATATTCAATTGATTGAGTTAGTAAATTTAGCATCAGCATATAAGGAGGAAGTATATCTGATTAATGCATGTTAAAAAGAACAGTATTGTGTATACAATACTGTTGAATAGTCAATATAATCTAAACTTAGAATTTAAGCATAATTGATATTTAATTGAACTAGTTTTAGTTCGAAATCATAAATTTATGGATTAATAAATTGTAATATTAATGCTAGGTTGCAAATAGCAAATATTCTTTATATAATTCAATAGGTTTTATTGCTGCATAATGTGTATGCACTGCCCTATGCGAAACTAGGTCACTACTGCTTATCTTTATCAGTGCTATATGCATAGTACAATACTGGTTCAATACTACTTCTCTATTGTAGAATATAGCTGACGAATGTATGTGTACATAATTTATTCAAAAATTGAGAATATTAATAATTCAACAGCCATTTTTCAAAGTTTTGTATTCGAAATCACGTGATAAAGTCATTTTGATCAATTTTGATTTTTTTTTAAATTCTGTTGTTTTCAGAGTAATTAGAATGACGAATTCGTATAGGAAATCACTTATAAAATGCTATAAATCACAAGCAAACTGTTTGTTTGTTTGTTTGTTTGAATATTTCTCCTTTTTCATTTCATTCTTTTTGGAAAATTTTTAGACTTTCTATCCTATCCAGAAAACCTTGACTATTCGCTTTGGTTAAAAGAGAATGATACTATTTATAGAGTCCTTTCTCCGGACAATAAATCTACTCACCTATGTAGACAGTCTCAATATATCCTACTTTTGGCAGGCTTTCTTAATCATAATAAACATGCTATATTTAATGATTATGGAAATATAACACTATCCAATAACTATCGACTATCCCCAATCCAATGCAACATTTTGCAATTAGAAGGTTGAAACGTCATCCCATATTTTATCCTTATGAAAATGTTTTTTTTTT